AAAAGAATAAGTTATTTGTATATTTCCTTGTATTGTTGTAGGAAATATATTGTTGTTGTGCTTCGAGGGCGAACTCTATAACCCTAACTATTATATTACTTTTATTTTTCTTTAGATTAATATCCGCGTTTAAATTTCTCCCAATTGATTGTAAAGGCTATTGTGATACCAATGTTGCAAAACTCCGATCCTCACTCTTATGAGTGATTCTCGAGTACCTTCGGTGGAATAGTCACGAGTAAATGTTGTAATAGATAGACTGTTTTTGTTATTATTTGCTTGTGATTGCAATATTCTGCGATATATTTGTTGTTGTGTTTGATCGTTGTGTTTGTTTTCTGTGAAGTGTTGTTGATGTGCTGTGATTTGGGTATTTGTTTGGTTCTCAATTTGTTTTAAAATAATCTGTATTTTTGATAAGTTGTTTTTACAATAAACTGATTTTTTTTAAAAAATAGGTTTTTCCAATCAAATTGTGTTTTTTTACTATAACTGTTTGAAATATTTTTTTTTTACTATAACTGTTTTCGAAAACTGATAATCATGGCTCGGCAAATATTTTTTAATATCCAACATTTTGATGAAAAAATTGATTTTGCTATTTGGAAACTAAAAATAAGAAATATACTTTTTACTCAAAGATTAATTAAAGAAGAGCCGGATTAAGCAACTACAGTCCCTTGCGAAACGAGGGTTGAGTCAATATGATTGGTAAGCAAGAATCTACTGTAGCATTGTGGAATAAATTGGATAATTATATACTCAAACTTCTTACCTAGTAGGCTTCACTTGTTAGAAAAGTTCTTTAGTTTTGAACTTGATCAATCTAAAACTATTGATGAAAATCTTGATATTTTTCAAAAATTAATTCAAGATATTAAGCTTACCGGTGATAAGAATATAGATGATTATAGTGCTATAGTTCTTTTGAATGTTATTCCTAGTGCATAATCTGATGTAAAATCTGCAATTAAATATGGACGTGATTTTGTGACTTTAGATGTGATTATTAATGGTTTGAAAAGTAAAGAATTAGATTTCAATGTAAATAAATCTGGTGATGTTATGTATATTAGGGGTAGATATCCATTTAGATTTAATAGGAATAATCATTCTGGAAATAATGATTGTAAAATAAAAAATCAGAATAATAATAATAAAAATTGAAATACATCTAAAACAACTAATAAAGGAGGAATAAATGTTATAATTGTGGTGATAGTTTACACTTTGTTAGTTATTGCCCTAAGAAACATAATAATAATAATAATAATAATAATAATAATAATAATAATAATAGCAGCGATAATAAAAGTAATGGTAATGCATCAAGTGAGTTAGTCAATATGATTGTTATTGATAATGATTTAGGGAATGTATTTGATGTTTGTCGAGATTTAAATTAGATTTTTTTGAGTGCTAATGAATGGATAGTTGATTCTGCTTGCACATACCATATGACATCTCTGAATTTTTTTTTTTTCTGAATTTAGAACTTTAACACATTGTTATGTGACTATGACTGATAAACGTGCGTGTAAAGTTGAGGGAATTGGTGTTATTAATTTGAAATTTAAATCTGGAAATGTGGTGAAATTGCATGAAGTGAGATATGTGCCTGAATTTTCTAATAATTTGTTGTCATGTGTTAGTGTTGGACATGGGTCCAAAAGTACCTGAACATGAAGAAGGCTCAAAGACAAAAGTGGAGCCAGAGCTCATGGGCCACGGAGTCGCTCAACAGCAATGAAGCTTCAAGCCTCGGAGCCAAAGACTGCTGCTCCACAAAGCCGAAGGCAACAACTTCCATTGGATTGTGATGCTTCCACAGGGCCGAAAGCAGCAACCTCCATGGACCTTAGGGTAGCAACTCTTTCGACTATGGCGCCTCCATTCCCCAACAATGTTTCCATAAGGTCAGAAATTGTTGCCTCCATTGGGTTGAAAACAACTACCTCCATTGGACTGCGGTGCTTCCACAAAGCAGAGGAAGGTTGCCTCCACAAGATAGAAAGCAAAAACTTCCACAGATCATGGGATAAGTACCTCCATTGGCCCTTGGTTAATAATTTCGTACTTAACATTAGTGGAGGACCTATGCACTTCCATACTTTATTCAAAAAGCTCCATGGAACAAACGAACAAGAGGAAAACTGAAGATTCTATTTGACTCGAGGCTGTTGGGGACACATCCCCGTCGACCGGCTAGGAGTACGATGGAAACAAGTCAGAGTAAGCGGCAGATCTGGTCTAGAGGCAATAGAAGAAGTTTAGAGCAAATGAAACCCGGTCTAGAGGCAATGGAAGCGGTTGGGAACTGATGGAAGGAGGTTACCAAGTTGTTAGGAGCTGATGGAAGGAGGTTACCAGAGAACTGATGGAAGGAGGTTACGAGACAGTTGGAGGTAGTGGAAGGAGGTTACCAGGCAGTTGGAGGTAGTGGAGGGAGGTTACTAGGTGGTTGAGAGTGGTGGAGGAATAATTGGAACTTCTACTTTTAGTGGAAGAGGCGCTTATTCTATCTTAGAATTAAAACTAGGAAAAAACACATCACACACACGCACAAGATGATGAACTCGTATATTTCTCTGTTTCATTTTCATGTTTTAGTTCTTGTTTATGCATTTTAATTTCAATTACATGCTTTTATGTTCCTAGCATATTTTTATCCATTTTTCAGTAGATTTATCCAAGTTTTAGTAGATGTTAGTTTAAATCAATCGAAATCGATTGTTTAGGCTCAAAGCCTTGCAGGCTCCACCGAAGGAGCCGCCTCCAATCCGACGACGGACATGCTCTTTAGAGTACTTTCGGAACCCACACTGATGAATCGACGAACAGTCATTGAACCTCCAAATTTTAGGTTCCAACAATTGGCACGCCTGGTGGGACCAAAGTCGGATTTTTCGAAAAGTGATGTCGAGGTTGACATGGGGTTCATTTGTACCGCCTAAAGAAAGCTACGGAATTGTTGCAGAACATCCAATGCTTCAGGCCTTAGGGCCGGGACATGCAAGATCAGGCTATAACCAATAGCCTGCAGGAAACTGGAAGCAACAGTCTGCAGAGGGTTGTAACCACCAGTCTGCGGAAGGCTGGTTCCAACAGCCTACGGATGGCTGGAGCCAATAGCCTGCGGATGGCTGGAGCCAATAGCCTGCGAAGGGCTTAAACCACCAGTTTGCGGAAGGCTGGAACCGACAGCCTGCAAATGGCTGGAGCCAACAGCCTGCAAAGAGCTAGAGCCAACAGACTGTGTAAGGCTGGAACCCCTTGGCCATTGGAGTTTTGAAGAGCAATGCTTAGCCTTCACGAGGGGCAAGCAAATTTCCAGCATTTGGCATGATCCCGCCAGGGCGATTAAGTGGACAACCTATGTGGAATGCACCAACACCACCATGGGGATGCCACGGTCCGAACATGGCTAATCTCCAATGGAAGAGGATCATCGAAACACAGGGGCAAGGAGGGCAGGCCGTAGAGATGCAACCGTTAACCTTTCATCAGCAGGTAGCCGGAGTGCAGCTGCTAACACCAAATCAACGGGAGGCCAAGCCTTTATTGGATGTTCATGTCGTCTTAGATTGCATAAGAAGGACATTTTCAAAAAGAAGGTTTAAAAAGAAGCCTAGTGTTACTTTGATCGCGGGAAATCTACCTCCATACGAAAAAGAAGCTGCACGGGCAGAGACTCCAGATGCTGTGAAGGCTTCAGTCGAAAAGGAGTCTGCGGTGGCAGATGTTCCAGAACCCATGGAAGCTCCAGAGCTTGTGGAGGCAGAGACTCTAGAGTTTATGGAGGCTCAAGTTGAAAAGCAGTCTGCGGAGGAAGAGGTTCCAGAAGCCATGGAAGCTCCAGAGCTTGTGAAGGCAGAGACTCCAGAAGCTGCGGAGGCTCTAGTTGAAAAGGAGTCTGCGGAGGCAGAGGTTCCAGGAGCCATGGAAGCTCTAGAGCTTGTGGAGGCAGAGACTTCAGAGGTTGTGGAGGCTCCAGTCAAAAAAACATCTGCGAAGGAAGACGTTCCAGAAGCCGTGGAAGCTCCAAAATTTGCGGAGGTAGAGACTCCAGGGACCGTGGAGACTCCTAACGAAAAGGAGGATGTAAGAGCAGAGGCTCCATATGAAAAGGACTCTCCAGGGATACAGGCTCCAGAGACCATGGAGGCTCCATAAGAAAAGGAGGCTCTAGGGAAAAAGACTCCAGAGGCTATGGAGGTTCCATATGAAAATGAGCTTGCAGAGGTAGAAGCCCTAGTGACTTCAGACGAAAAGGACTTTGCGGAGGCAGAAGCCTTGGCCAAAAAATTAGCAAATGGAAAGACTTATTTGTGTCCGGAATTGAAGCCAACCAAAGGTTTTATTCCTTTTGCTAATAATATGTCAGCTAAAGGGCCTATGAAAGACGGGCTTAGCACCCAGCCGTCAAAACCTTCGGTTCAAGACTTTCTAGGACCAAAGGCACCAGCTAAAGAAGCCGTCTTTACAAAAATGACATTTGGTAAAGGCTCAAGTTTGAACATGAAGAAGGCACGACCAAAGAAGCCTAAGAAAGAGCCTATGCCGGTGTCACCATCCTAAGTCCGAAAACCTTAGGATTGGAGAAGAGAAAAATATACAAAGGACCCAAGCCGGAGGCCATCGTAGCAGAAGTGAAAGTCACAAATGAGAAATGGATTTGGACTATTACCACGGTTGACCAGATCACCGTCATTGCCAATGCGACATGGAAACCTCCTATCGTGAAAGAGAATGAAAAATGGATTGTTAATGAGCCGAAGCTTTCCACTAGAGGAGCAATAAGGGGACTCACCAGGACTCAAAAGAGGTGAGCTCAAAGAAGGAATTTGGAGGCTCGTGTGGAGGAGAAAACCTCACATGAGCTGTCTCCAAAAGAAAAGCAGATGGAAGAGCCGCCTTAAAAAAAGAAGCAGGCTATAGGGCCGCTTCCAGAAAGAAAGCAGGCTGCAGAGCCGCTAAGAAAGCAAGTTGCAGAGCTTCTAATGAAGCAGGTCGTGAAACCACTTCCAGAAAGGAATCAGGCCATGGAGCCGCTTCCAAAAAAGAAGCAGGCTATGGAGCTGCTTCAAAAAAGAAAGCAGGCTGCAAAGCTGCTAAGGAAGCAGACCATGGAGCCACCAAGGAAGCAGGCTGTACAGCCGCGTTCAGAGAGAAAACAGGTTGTGGAGCTGCTTAAAGAAAGGAAGCAAGTTGTGGATCCGCTTTCAGAAAGAAAGCAGGCCGTAGAGCCGCCAAGGAAGAAAGTTATGGAGCCTCTTTCAAAGAGAAAACAAGTTGTAGAGCCGCCTTCAGAAAGGAAACAAACTGCGGAGCCGCTTTCAGAAAGAAAGTAGGCTGTGGAGCTGCTAAGGAAACAGATTCCGCTTCAAGAAAGAAAGCAGGTTGTGGAACCGCTAAGGAAGCAAGTTGTGGAGCCGCTTTCAGAAAGGAAGTAGGTTGTGGAGCCACTTCCAAAAGGAAAACAGGTTGTGAAGCCGCTAAGGAACCAGGCTGTGGAGTCTCTTCCAAAAAGGAAGCAAGTGGAGGAGCTTCCAGAATAATTCAAAGCTCCGGAAGAATTTCAAGAGTTAGAGAAAGTTGTCATTGACGAGGAGCCTATCTTCGAATGGAATGATGTGGTAACCATGATAGAATTTAAAAAGCTCGGGCCTAGCCAAAATCAACATGTCAAGCCTTTACACATTCGAATCTCGATGAATGGCTATTCGCTGGACCAAGTTTTGGTCTACAGTGGAACTTCTGTTAATGTATTGCCAATTGAGACCCTACGGAAGTTCGGAAAGACTAGTGACAATTTGATTTCTATATTTGTACAGCTTACAGATTTATGGGGAATTCTTAAAAACCAGCAGGTATGATCACTTTGAGTGTGAAGGTGGGGACAAAGGAAATATCATCAACTTTCATGATGATTGATAGTAGGCCATTCTATTCGGCTCTCATGGGACAAAATTGGATTCATGCATGTGAGTGTGTGCTTTCGACACTCCATCACACGTTGATGTTTTGGGATGGAGATGAAGTCCAAGAAGTGAAGGCCGAGGAGGATCCCTTGTCGACAGAACTGACCACAATTGAATCATGCGAATGGCTCAAAGAAAAAGGACATGGGTTCAATGGAAGTGATCGTCCAGCCCTTTTGAGGAGGGCATTGTTGGATATGGGTCCAAAAGTACATGAACGTGAAGGAGGCTCAAAAAAAAAAGTGGAGCTAGAGCTCATTGGCCATGGAGTCGCTCAACAGCAATTGAGCTTCAAGCCTCGGAGCCAAAGACTGCTGCTCCACAAAGCCGAAGGCAACAACTTCCATTGGATTGTGGTGTTTCCACAGGGCCGAAAATAGCAGCCTCCATGGACCTTAGGGTAGCAACTACTTCGACTATGGCGCCTCCATCCCCAAACAATGTTTCCATAAGGTCAAAAATTATTGTCTCCATTGGGTTGAAAATAACTACCTCCATTGGACTGCGGTGCTTCCACAAAGCAGAGGAGGTTTCCTCCACAAGATAGAAAGCAAAAACTTCGTACTTAACATTTGTGGAGGGCCTATGCACTTCCATACTTTATTCAAAAAACTTCATGGAACAAACCAACAAGAGGAAAACCAAAAATTCTATTTGACTCGAGGCTGTTAGGGACACATCCCGATAGACCGGCTAGGAGTACGATGGAAACAAGTCAGAGTACGCGGCAGATCTGGTCCAGAGGCAATAGAAGAAGTTCAGAGCCAATGGAACCCAGTCCAGAGGCAATGGAAGTGGTTGGGAGCTGATGGAAGGAGGTTACCAGGTGGTTAGGAGCTGATGAAAGGAGGTTACCAGAGAATTGATGGAAGGAGGTTACCAGACAGTTGGAGGTAGCGGAAGGAGGTTACCAGGCAGTTGGAGGTAGCAGAGGGAGGTTACCAGGTGGTTGAGAGTGGTGGAGGAATAATTGGAACTTCTCCTTTTAGTGGAAGAGGCGGTTATTTTATCTTAAAATTAAAACTAGGAAAAAACACATCACACACACGCACAAGAAGATGAACTTGCATATTTCACTGTTTCTTTTTCATGTTTTAGTTCTTGTTTATGCATTTTAATTCAAATTACATGCTTTTATGCTTCTAGCATATTTTTATTCTCTTTCCAGTAGATTTATCCAAGTATTAGTAGATGTTAGATTTAATCCATTCAAATCGATCATTTAGTCTCGAAGCCTCGTTTAGGCTTGAAGTCGTGCAGGCTCCACCGAAGGAGCCACCTCCAATCCGACGATGGACAGGCTCTTTGGAGTACTTCCGGAACCCACAGCGAAGAATCGAAGAACGGTCTTGGAACCTCAGAATTTTAGGTTCCAAGTGTTAGATTATCTACTTTAGGTTTAGAAGAAAAGTTGGGCTTAAATTGCATTAAAATAAAAAAAAAAAGATTGTTAGTGATTTTTAGGGCATAATTGAAAAATGACTTATATGTAACCTCTATTATACCTCTGAATGTATGTTCTGATATAGATAATTCTTAAATTCGTAATTCTGAATTATGGCATAAGAGGTTAGGTCATATTAGCAATAATGGCTTTAAAATTCTTCATGAATGGTTATTTGGATAATGAGAAATTTTTTATTGTTCCCTTTTATAATTTATGCAAACCTGGAAAATTGAATAAATTTCAATTTTCGTTGAAAACCCCTAAAAATTATACTTTTTCAAAACAAATTTTGGAATGTATACATATAGATATATGTGAACCTTCTAATGAATCCACTCATGGTGGGAGTAGATATATCTTAACTGTAGTTGACGACTTTTCTAGAAAAATTTGGATTTTGTTATTGAAAAATAAACCTGATTTGTTTAAGGTTTTCAAGAATTGGAAAATTCAAATTGAAATTGAAACTGACAGAAAAATTAAATATATTAGAAGTAATAATGGTTTAAATTTCTGTAACACCTGGTTTAGTCATTTTTGTGTGCAAAATTGTATCAATTTTGAATTTGTCCCTAAGGCATCCCAATTTAGTGTGGTTGCTAAGAGGTTAAATCGGACTCTTTTTGAAAGTTGGATGTCCTTTGATGTCGTCTGGTTTACCTAGAAAATTTTTGGGGTGAATCTGCTATAACAACAACCTATCTTTTAAATCGAACACCCTCTGTCCCCCTTAATGGATTCCTGAAAGTAAATGGTTGGATAGAATAGTTGACATATCTAATGTTCGTGTGTGGTGCTTGATGTGATACATATTTGCATTGATAAATTTGAAATGAAAACTGAAAATTGTGTTTTCTTCAGCTATGGTGTTACGGGGTATAGATTGTGGTTAAGTTCTAAACCCTGATTTAAAAATATTATTAGTAATTATCACTACAAAAAAATCACAAGTTACGATGGAATTATTCCGTTGCAAATTTACATTGTGTTGGATTTTACGTCCAAATAAGAACCGTCGCAAATAATTGGCTGTAAATCCGAAACGACCACATTGAGGCTCCGTCACAAAAAACTGCAACAGTATTGCAAACGAATAATCTCTTTTTAATTTTGTCGCAACATTACAAAATATTGCAATACATTTATTTTGTTCCTAATTCCGTCGCAACATTACATAATATTGCAATGAATTGGTTTTGCTGCTAATCCCATCGCAATATTAAAGAACATTGCAATACATTAATTATGTTGCTAATTCCGTTGGCAAAATTTATACCCCTATTTAATCTCTTAGCTTGTTTTTATCTGTGTTTTTCCAAAATTTTATATAGCTAATACTAATGCAATCCTCCACAATTAACCAATTTAAAAACTCAATTAATAACTCTCATCAAACATGCAAAAACTAAAAGAAACTATATACAAATTTTAAATTTAAACCGAGTCTAACAAAGAATATACAATATAATATGAACAATATGTATTTAGCAATGATGGCGATCACAAAGAAGATCACATGTTAAAATTATAATTCACAAGTAATTAAAATTATAATTCACAAGTAATTAATATTTTCATGCGAAAACTGATACCATACCCCCAAGAACAACTAAATTTAAACATAAGAAAGTGATTGCATTAATGAAAATAGAAAAAAATATATATATATATATATAATAAGCTAGGTGATACATGCCTTTCGCACTAAAACATTAAATTTGGTTACACAAGAACTGCATTTTGATATTGTTTCATTAGGTATCTGTTTAAATTAAACACCTAATAAAGTTGGTACTTGAAGTATCTATTGCTCTTTGGAGGTTAGAACTTAGAACGAATCCTATGCATAATAATCCAATAATAATCACAAACATCATGGAACTCAATTCTCTTATTTGATTCAAGCAGCCAAAGAACTTATGTTGCTAGCTATTTGTTCGGAATAATCACTTCAATTGAAGGCGTATAACCCATTGCCAAGGCACCAAACAACGATGCCTGCTGCCTGGAATCAATATTTGGCACATTAGAGGCCAACGACAATGTCTTTTGTGCCCTCTGAGCCTGTCTTTCCTTCTTTGTATCTACCCACTTGACCACCAAAGGTATAGTCGAACCCTATTGCAGAAGCTATCAACATTAATGTTTGACATTTCCAATTTAACACAATGCATTTATTCAGTGGGATGGTGAACTCAAATAAGCAAACCAACAGCAAAAGGGGTTCATCATATAAACAAAAATTATGGAGTCTAGAGAAGGAGATGGAGAAAGAATGCATCTATAAAATAGTCCACTGGTTTCGACTAATAAATTTCTCACATAGAGACACACAAACAGGAATTGAGTAACATTCAGAACCGAATTCCAGCTCTTAATAAAAAATTTCACCATAAGCAAATGTCCATTTCATGGGTTTTTAACATCAAGGCTCAAATTTATGCCTTAGGAATAATAGAAAATCGACTACTTATAATAGCATTGATGAGTTTAAATCAGTCTTTCTGGATCTTAAATCCAAAATTTTTAACTAAAACAGTACTGCTCCTGTGGTGAAGATTCAACACTACAAGATTATATACACAACACACCAATTCGAGAGAGGTTATTGTTTACGTACCTCTATGTTATGCTTTCCGTTGAGGACTTATATTGCTGTCAGTGCTTGTTCTTTTGTCTCAGATTTCAAAAAAGCATAACCTACAAAAACTAATTTGTTAGATTAGAAGTTCTAAGAATATATAAAATCCCATCACTCAACAATCATGCGAAAGGCTGAATAGCCTCGCATGCCAATCTTAGGTCCAAATGGAAAATAAGATAAACTAAGCATATGCTTAATTTAATGAGTTTTGAAAGAGATCAGAACCTGCAGATGTCTTTCAATTTTTCCGCCATAACAATTACAATATTAAGGTAAGAC